AACATCTCTTTAAAAATCATTCATAACAAATCATATCTTCGAACACTAGTTATCCCTATTTAAAATATATAAAGCGCCGTAGGTAATTGAAATTGTCTACTATTGTTGACATGGAATTAAAAGTAACTAGGCATTTTTGTAGTGTTCAAATGAGTAGGTCATCTGCTTCAGGACATGGTTTGTGTTTGTTTGCCTGTGCTTTTCTTTTTGTTAGGGCCGGCCCATTAGGCTAAGCAGCCACCTAGAGAGAGAGGGGGGGGGAGGGGAAGGCCCCCAATTTATATTTGTTATCTTCACCTATTACTAGGCTGAAGAAAAAATTTTAGACGTAAAAGACCAAATCATATACAATTTCCTAAAAAAAGTCCAACTATAACCAAGACGATCAAGAGTCTCTCTCCAACTGTCAAACAACAAAAATGTCAAATACCACAACACAATTAAAGCCTGTAAATCTCTCGCTCTCTCTCTTACACACACACACATTAAGGGCATCCAACTAGTCTACATTACAAAAAATGTATTATACACTTGGTCACCCATACCACTAAAAACACCTTACATCTTTGTAATGACCCTTATATACACATACAGACATCTACGGGTTTTTTTTTTTTTATTATCATCAGATTCAATTTGATAGCTATTAAAATTATTTAATCAATAAATTATTTTTATATTTTTACTAATATGATTAATCTAATTAAAAAAAATTTTCTTTTGTAAATGTATAATTTAAGACAATTTAAAAGGCGAATAAAGAGTCAAAGCTTATACAAGTTCTATTTATCAGGTACTGTTGTTACATTTTTGTTAAGCTTTCTCTCAGTATAACTATTTATTATTTTAACAGTTTATTTTGCTTACAAGGATTTTGGGTCTTGTATATGTCAATTAAAATATATGAATCCGGACATAAAAAGCATAAAAATTGAATAAGATATGCCAACAAAATGTGAATTTTATTATATGATACTCAAAATAAAACAAATTTTACCAACTTATGTGTCCTCTGTGGTTTTTTTAATAATTTTGTGAACACCAACTCTCTTACACCATCTGCTGTGACACAATCAAAGTCATTGAATATTTAATAAATTCTATGGAACATACTAATCTAATGGTTTATGTTGAGGTGGTACAAAAAGACGGTGCGTATAATATTGTTATTATTATTATTATTTTGGTGCAATTGGGGGTTTGAAATCTTATGTACTCAAAAGAAAAACTGTTTTCCGAAAGTTTTTTGTCACTAATTGGGCAATTACACTTTTAACACCTCAACTTGTTCCTGTATCATATTTTCTCTTCAACTATCATGTGTTTTACATTGCATCTTCAACAATGGTCGTTAGTTTTACAATATCCCCAATGATTAACATCCATTACAAATTTGATGGAAGTTTTTTAGTTTTCCCCCAAAACTATGTAATTTTGTTTTACTTACCCTCGAATTCAAATAATTTCAGTCAAAAGGAAAATAGAGGCTTGATTTTGGGGTATTGTGAAACTGATTGACATATCTAGTTGAGTAAGAACGTGAAAAATCAATGGTCCATGGGGTACAGTGAGATCGAGGCCATAGTCAAAGGGTTGAGAGCATAATTTTACCCAATTAGTCTAATGAGAAGATTATTGTTCCTGCATATTGGCCTCAAAGAACTTAAATCTGATACTTCTACAAACCTAAGTTGTTGCTCTATATGATCTTTGCTAGGTACTTGCACCATGAGGTGACACCCCACATTATTCACAGAGACATAAAGGCTAGCAATGTGCTTCTGGATTCAAACTTTGAGCCACTTGTTGCTGATTTTGGGTTTGCAAAGCTCATTCCAGAGGGTGTTAGCCACATGACAACCCGGGTTAAGGGCACTCTGGGATACCTAGCACCAGAATATGCTATGTGGGGAAAAGTATCCGAGAGCTGCGATGTGTACAGTTTTGGTGTTCTTCTCCTTGAGCTTCTCACAGGAAGAAAACCTATAGAAAAACTCCCTGGAGGCGTTAAGAGGACGATAACTGAATGGGCTGAGCCTTTGATAGTTAAAGGGAAGTTTAGAGACCTTGCTGATCCAAAGCTTCGAGGAAACTTTGATGAAAATCAATTGAAACAGGGGATTAATGTGGCTGCTCTATGTGTGCAAAGTGAGGTGGAGAAGCGTCCTACAATGAAAGAAGTTGTTAACCTTCTGAAAGGGTATGAACCGACAGGAAAAACAACGCAGATGAAAATTGAAAGTATCAAGTATAAGGAAGATTTGATGGCACTTGATCAAGACAGTGATGATGACGGTGGTGGCGTTAGTGGTTATGATGAAAGTAGTGCGTATGGCATCTTTGGCACTATTGATACACCAAAGATGCATGATCCATATAAGCGATTTGGCGATCAAAAAATAGATAAACATGGATGAGAGAGAGTTTTATTCACGGTCTTGATTTGTTCGTATGAACATGAACAACATTCCCAATGGAAGGGATTGAGTGAATTGTTATCTTGACATACTTTTGTTAAGCTACATTGAAGTAATGACCATAATTTTAAAGTTTTCGTGTTTTATATAAACAATAGAAAAGGAGTTCGGATACCATACACACACACACAGATATATACAGACATAACAAATGGATAAAGAGTAACGATACATGGGAGTATATGAGGGTGTGTCCGCTCACGTAAATGAGAAGAACATTAACAATTACCAGGAATGCTTCTTAGTTGTTGGTTGTAGCTTGAAACTATGGAATATTGGACACCATAACTGCTGTTATTGCTTATGACCAAATTCATCTTTGCAGATAATTGAGAGAGGAGAGGGAGAGAGGCCTAGCACTCCAACCTCTGAACCAAGCTGCCGTTTTATAGCCTTTGACCCAGGTAATAACGTTTGAGTTGTCGCCATGTTTGACAGCCCTACAGAACGACGACGTATAATAACTAGTTTGTTTATTAGTATCTCTCACTTCTCCAAGAGAGTCCTCGTCGCAACCATGACTTTCCTAGACTCATCAATCACTTCATATATCATTTACATCTCTCATATTTAATTTGAAATCATGTGATGAGGGTAAAATAGATAATAAATATGTAATAATTGTCCAAACCCACCAACATAAGGAATGTATGATGCATTCAAAGGTTTTAAAAACAAGGAATACTTTTTTACAAATTAAAAATCCACTAGGACTAAATCTAATTTACTAAAAGAGGAATCTTAGCCTAATTTCCTATTTTCTTTTCCAGGGCCGGCATAGAGCAAATGGACCAGGGCTTTAGGCCCACCAATAATGAAGGCACCAAATTTTCAAATGTCTACAAATAGGCAAAAAAAACTTTAACACATATACAAAGTTGATAAATTTGGAAGCTGATCCCCTTATATGGACTTGTTTTGACTTAAGTCCGCCAAGAAAACTTATTTATTATGAAGCTCATTTTTGTCAATTTTATCATACTATCCCTTCTCTTTAAAAATGAAATAAAAGTAAAATTTAAAAACTTCTAAATTTTATGAATTTGACTAATATTAAATTTGTTTTCTCTCTCATATCTATTTATATCCATATATAGGTTAGGATTATATCTCTCTCATACATATATACTAATTATTGTC